AGTGTGATCACGAGATGATAAACATTTTAGCAACTCGTCGTTCTTGTCAACTTCAATAAGTTAGAATGAATACGTATGATGGTACAAGCTAGAACGAGTTAGCACAGTGTAATAGAGTGGATTACATCCTTGTTGTTTACCAATATTAAACAAAGATGACACGATCACTATGTCACACTGTGTGTTGCTTGATACATCGCTTGAAGGGTACGAGTATATACACTTAGAAAGCATTGAGTTTATATACTGTTCTTTCTTATACTCTTCTTTCGATAAAACTGCTCGACTTTGTTATAGGGTCTCTAGTTCACCGGGAAAAAGAAATCTCGGTGCACGCGTACCGTAAACTTATCACGGTGTCGTAGTGTCAACGATACGCGCCGCGACGCTCGTCGGCGACGCGCGATCGAAGCGGAAGCGCGCAGACGCGCTCGACAGCTCGCGGACATTGAGCTCTTTTTTTTTTCTTTCTTTTTTTCTTGACGAAGCGCCTTTTTTCGTTTCGTTTGATGAAGTCTGCTTTCTACAGAGATTCTTCTCGAACAGCTTCATGTTATAATAATGATTACGAATTTGCGCCGCGGGACTTTTAAAAGTTTCTTTACGGAAAGAACGGATATTTTGCCGAAATATCTAAAGATTAGCCAGTTACAGATTAAAGATAATTTTGTTGGATCATGAAAATAACTATGTAGGACGTTCAAACTGATCGCTAGAATGTCAACACTTTGGAACTTTGCTCATTATATTTCAGATTCCTCTGTAATTTTGATGGTCCAAGAAAATTATTTTTAGATCTGTAAGATCTAATTTTTAGATACTTTAGCGAAATCGTTCTTTCCGATGATATCGAATGCGTTAAAGGAAGGATTCCGAAAGTTTAAATTAGATTCGAATCGGCGAGACCCTTATTCGCAACTTTTGCGGAATGGTCATTATTATCGGAAATAGATTTTCGGATAAATGGAGAAGGCACTAAAAGATCCTATTATATCTTTGCTCGATACGTGTAATTTTCTCCTCGAATGAATCAGAATCATTCGCTGAAAGTAAAGATTCTTCATCGTTCGGACCGAGCGATAAAAAACGTTTCCACTTGAAAAAAATTGTGAAGAGTATCTTGTACACTTAAATTCATAATGTCAAATTATGTCTATAATTTGAGTTACTTTTAGTCATTTCTATAATAAACCTCTCTACTCAATATGCCCTTAATTTAGAACCATGGAGTTAAACAATTTAGCTCAAGAAATTGTATAGACATTAAATTCGATTTAAATTCAATTTATTGTCTACTAAAAGTCGATTGTTCCATTTTGCGATAAATTAGATGTAATTTATCTACTAAATTGATAAATAAAAGAGTAAAAGAGAGTAAGAACATAAGAGAGTGAGAGAGTAAAATAGTGCGCTGAAGTTTAACGAAGGATGGAACAATCCAGCCTAAGCATACGAGGGAGGCATCGTTTACATTGAAATTAATTACAGAAATCGATCGATTTACATTTTGACACGCACACACACGGAAGTTAAAAGTAACAAAATAATATTTAATTCAATCGGATCACCATTGCTCCTTTGAGCTATTAGTGTAAACGTCTTTAAGATGTCATTCGAGCATCTTATCCTAGATTTGATCAATTTGAAATTACATTAGTTACATTAGCGCGACTATCGACGCAGAGGGCCGGGGCGGGGGCGGGGGGGAGAGGGGGGATTTGGTACCTCCCCGCGAATCAACTTGTGGCTTCGCGTCACCGACTCTCGGTACTCCAGAGAGAGAGAGAGAGAGAGAGAGAGAGAGAGAGACAGAGAGAGACGGATAAAGGAGGCGCTTCGGGAAGAAGAGGAGAGCGCGATAGGCAACGCGGCAAGCAGGCGTGAAAGTCGGCGGCTTCTCCAACACGCATGCCTGACGCCCGCTGACGCCGTCGCGGTCGTCGTCATCGTCGTCGCCGTCGACGTCCGCTTTCATATCGACGAGCCGTGTGCGAGTCGGTCGCGACGGTGCCAGAGCCAGTGGCCCTACGACTGTCGGGAAACAAACCCCTCTGCGTCGTGCCGACGACGACGACGCCGACGACGACGACGACGACGACGACGACGACGACGACGACGAGGATGCGCAGGGGTGACGGTTAGAGGAGGAGAAGGTGGTGGAGGAGGAGGAGGAGGTAGTGGACAACGAGAAGGGAAAATACAACCGGCGGTGGTGAAACTGGAGGCGCGGCCGACCACCGAGGCGCACCCGCTCACCTCGGCGTCATTCTCGGGGGAAGGGGGAGGGAGAGGGGGGGGAG